ATAGAGACTGGGTACCAGTACTTAACTTTTAGGAATTAGAGAGGTATTACTATTGTAATGCACAGCAAAAGTTTAATGTCAGCAAAAGGGACATTAGAAAGGTATGGAGATAGCTAATTGAATATAGCTTCCCCAATAGAACAATATATGGGCAACCTATACATGGACTCCTGAACCCATATAGAGAAGATATTAAAGATGGATAGTCAGGAAGCTGAAGACTATTTTTCATAAACTATTATATTCTATCAGTTTCTAGATGTGAGTCATTTTTTGAAACTGGAATTCACCAACTGAATGAGGAGTCAAGCATTCCAAGGGAAGACTAAAGCAACATCACTGCAAAAATATATAACAAATAAGTGATACTGCTATTCTTCAGTTATTTTGTCTGATAATATACATGGAAAAAAGGTAAAAACTCGTACATTTCAGAAACTGTTCAAATAGGATCTGGGTTAACACTGATACCCAGAGACTGAAAGTATCATCAATTCTCCCATTTCAAAGAAGGGCTCAAGGAAGCCAAACAATAGTGTCCAGGCCCAGGCCAAGCTCACAATGGATTGAATAGGTTGGTAGGTCCATCTAATGCCCATAGTCATGATCCCTGAATGAAGAACAACAGCATTTCTTTAGTAATCATCACAATATCAATTGGTATCTTAGTTTTTGTGAAAAAGTGAGTAAGGTCAAATGAAAGCCTTACAAAATGTCCCTGTCCTTCATCCTAGCAAAGATACAATATTGAAATCTGAGGGGATAAACAGAAAATAGTACCACCCTTATAGACTTACTGTACACAGGTAGTCTCTATTATATCTTCATTTATGTCTTTGGCCTGGCCCATGAAAAACAAAAAGAAAACAGAAACCAAACCCAGAGTGATTACAGAAGATGACAGCAGACAACCTAAAACTCACCCAGTTGCAAGTGATATGTGAGGTGTATTATCTTCCTTAGAGCAAATAAATATACCCTCTCTGGCTTTACCTTCCAACAACTGAAGGATATTAGTATAAGGTGACCAGATTTTAACATTGGTAAAGGGGGACACCATTGGGGAGGCGGGGCCTGACAACAATGCAAACTTTGATAAGCAGTTCTCTCGATAATCAGTTCTCAACAATTATTTGTTATTATTAAAGTTTAACATTACAAAATTAACAAAAATAAGATAGAACACATATCCTGGCGAAATAGCCACGTGGCAGCCAAAAACCGTATATTCCCTTCCTGTTCTCCTGTGTTCCCTAGCTTGTCCATTCTTTCCAAAAATTGGGGCTTTTTTAAACCACCACAGGACGCATGACAAATTGTTAAAAATCAGGACTGTCCTGCTGGTCACCTTACTCTAGGGGTGAGGTGGGGGGACTACTTGTTTGTTCCAGACAGTTTGGCTCCTTCTGAGCTAATTGTCCTTGCCTAGAAGCAAGGGAGGGAGCCAGTCTCCTTCTGATATTTTGCGTAAGAGGGGAGTAGGGAGTTTACATTAGCCTTTTCATTTCCAAATGAAGTTACAATAACCTTTTCATTCCCAAATGGAGTTACATTAACCTTTTCAGCAGCCGATATATTCCTTTCCCATTCTCCTGCTGTTCCCTAGCTTGTCATGCATTCTTTCCAAAAATCAGGACTTTTTAAAAACACCATGGGATGAGGGACAAATTGTTAAGAATGAGGACTGTCCCGCCAAAAGCGGGACGTCTGGTCACCTTATATTAGTATAATCAAAATTCCTATCTGTGATGGAATATGACAGCAGGCATCTAAATTCATATTCTGTATGACTATATGTAGGGATCAAGGAAATGTAATGAGCATATATAAGTGGAAAAGGCAGGAAACTAAACTACAAAAGTGATTGACAATTACAATAAACACATGTATTTGTGTGTCTACATGTGATTACATATTTTTTTAAAAAACTAGAAATATTTTAAAATATGTTTAATTGTTATCTCTGAACTGTGAGATTTTATGCCTTTTTATTTCTTTCCATATATTTCTATTTTCTAGTTTTTCTAACTGATGATATATCCCATTTATATAAGAACAATTGTTTTTTACAGAAAGGAAGTTAGAGGGAAGAAATTTAGATAACGGGGGAAACTCAGCTATGACAACATACCTTCCCTGTTAAAACTGCAAAGACAAAGCTAGCTCCACAGCAAATGGCATCCACAGTTCTCAAACTTCACTGCAACTTCATATTCCAACCTTTCCTTTCTTAAGCATTTCTATATATTTCATATTTTTATTCTGGCCAAAAGTATTATACTAATTATCACTGTGGAACATGTTAAGCTTTTTCTGCTGTCCTCTTCTACTACGTAATGTTTCCTCATACTTTTCTTGAGACATGAGGTTCCATCTTATCCCTCTCACATCCTCCCCTGCTGAGGTTTGACCTCGATTCCACCTAAATGATGGGCCTCCAGGGCTTGCTCAGCCCAGCACACAATGCCTCAGTGCCTTCTCTCTCCTACGCAGCTACTCTGACCCCTCCTTAAAGCTCTTTAAAAAGGGCACGTTGTATTCCTCTTCTTTTTTTCTTCTTTCTGAGGTGTGTCAGTGGTGGCGTGGAGGATTGGCAAAATGGGTTTCTGTATTGTGCTTTATGCCTCTGGCTGCAGCTGGATATTCCATTCCTGCACCTTTCTTGAAGGAACACAGGGAAGATGTCAGGATAAGATGAAGGAATGCTTAGCAAAAACATGGTATCCCAGATATCTCAGGGGTAGGCACAGCAGGTGGCTCTGCACCTTGTACCAAGAACTTCCCGTCATCCTGGGAGTGGGCTATGCTGGAGACATTTTGACATCTCAAATAACAGATGTCACACCATAGCATATCAGCAGAGTTTGTATAAATTACCTGTTGGACATGTATGTCAGAGCAGAGATAAAGGCCAGGAGAAGCAGGTCAATTTTGCAGAGTCAGGAATACAGAGTTAAAGTGGTCCTTGATCAGGCCCTGGAGCCTGCAGATACCCACCTCTAAGATTGAAATATTGCTACAAGGGGAGTTGATCTGGAGGCAGGATTTGCTTACTGATTTTCCATTCTGTGTCTGGATTAAAATAGTTGGAGAGCTCCCATAAAATGGCACAGAATGATTTTTCTCTTTATGCACTCTGTTAGAATGCCTCAAAAAAGTCTAGCATACAAAGTCAGAAGATTTTTATCACAGCCACAAATGTCTGTCATATCAGAAATCTTTCTTTTAATCCAAAAAAGTATTGTCTGCTTCATGAGCAAGTAAAGACCTACTTCTTTTATTTGAAAAGCTCTCATTGTCTAAAAACCTCTAATAGCCTCATCTTTTTCTTTGTATCTTCTCACAAAAATAAATTTAGGTGAAGCTTTAGGTAAGGAGTTGCCTTTCTAATACATCTGAAATAATTCTGCACTACAGTAATACAATTATACCCATGGTAACTTCTGATTTACTTCTGTCTTCTGGCTTTTTAGAGATATGTTTCTGAACTCTGTACTTTCAATGTTTTAATGTGTGATGCAGTTAGTCAAGGTTTAGTTTTTCCTGAACAATTGTTCTTGGGGAAGAATGGAATAAGTTTTCCAAACGCAGTGTACAGAGGATACGTGAGCAGACTTGAGATAGCTATTCATTTTAAAGGCTGCTTTACAACCTGATTACCTCTACTTTGGTGATTGTATTAGAGGGAAACACCCTGAGGAAATATCTCACAGCATCATTCCGAGGACGCACGAGGAGGAAAAATGATCACCAAATATTTTGCAGTAATCGGCTTGGTAGTGTTCTTCGCACCTTTCATATTATCTTTTGGTGAGTGATATGGCTGGCCCTGGCCAGCAGGTGAGGTTAATCTGTGGGCTTTGACTTAGTAATCTGAAAGACAATGTTTTGGAATAATTTTAAATTTAAATGAATCATTTATATAAAAATATGTAAAATATATGTCTTATATATATGTATGCATATTGAGAGTTACAATGAGATGTGGTCCACATATACATACATGCACACAGTGCCCAAAAATGTATACACATTTTAAGGAATGTTACCTATGTATTACTCTTTAAAGTAGAATTAAAGATACCATTACTGGTCAAATGTACCTATACATGCTACACACATCCATTTTACCTGTAAGTCATCCAGTTTTTTGGAAATGATCAATTTTACTTCCAATAAGATCTCTTAAAATGTGTACACTTTTTTGGTATATATATGATATATGCATATATCATACTCATATATCTGCATGTATATTTATAGAGTCAATGGGGTGTGGTCTGAAAGACTCTGGGTCAGTGAACAGGAGTTTTACTTTTGCTATCTATAACATGCAGATTGTGAGATAGAACTCATGGGCCAAGGAGGCTTGGGTGATTCAGTGAGGTAACATGTTAGAGTATCTAGCAATGTGTCTGCATCAGAGCACATGTGTCAGAGCACATCTTGAAAATTTAGCATATTTGAAAAGCCTTTGGTATGTATTTCAGTGGATCCTTACAATTTTGTCCTTATCTAGAGGAAAAAGTCATATAAGGAATTATAAGCACACCTGGACTCTAGGTCTTGAGATCTTGGTTTTTCATATATCCAATATGAGTTTCTGAATGTTACCCAAGCAAGTGTCTATCTTTTATCTGAAAAACATGGAAATTGAGTCAAAAGATCACTTTAAAGTTCCAGCACTTCTTGTTTTTTTCCTATGTTGGTTATGAACTCTGAATCCTCTGGAGTCTAAGCTAATCAGTGTTAATTGAAAAAAATTATTTGGTACACTGACTCTGCAACCTTTATGAGGGCAGTGATACATCTGAATAGTCTTCTGCTGATTATCTATCGGGAATAAAATTATTTCACAGTTTTTAAAGAAAATGAACAAATACCTGTATAATTGTTTCAAGATTCCTTGGTAATGAATTAGAACTCTTTTAATCTGTCAACAGATTAAGCTATGATTCACCAGGGATTAGGTTCTATTACTGTTTTCATGTATTCTCTAGTTTCAGGCCGTCGAGAATGGTGGCCACCAAATGGAAAGATTAAGGTATTCTTCCCCCACCTTTCCCAGGATTGAGATTCTAATCTGAGTTTTCACTGGTATTATTTTGGAAAAAAATGCAGTAAATCATTCATGATGTTATTCAAGGGCTATTCCTACAAGTGTGGCAGGTGCAATGCCAGTATAGGAACCCAGAGAAAAGTGATCCAAATTGGGATCCAATTAAGTAGCTACTAGAAAAAAGTTGCTACATACTTCACTACTGAAATCACTCTGGTCACCTTCAAAATACTCCCCTTGGGAAGCTACACACTGATGCCAGTGCTTAGTACACTCTTCAAAGCAATATTGAAAATCTTTTTCTATAATTACCAGAACTACTATCATTTGGCACACAAAACATGCAACAACAATAATAAGTGCCATTCAATAAGCTATTGCTGCATGTTGATATGAACACAGCTGTGAGACACTGATATACCAAGATTTTGAAACCTTATCTAGTGGTGTGTACAGTACTATTAATGAAAGTGCCTGGTAGCAAGTTCACAGACTTAATTGTAGGAACTCTTACAATGAAAGCTCTGATGGTCATTTTAGAAAAAGTTTTAAAATTGCTTTCAAAGTTGGGCTGGGCACTGGTATCAGTGTATTTCCAAGTGTATTACTCTGAAAGCAACTGCAGTGATATTCAGCAATGATCTAGGTAGCACTTTTTTAGGATGAGTTTGAGTACGTTTCAGACCTCATACATAAGTTCTGGTTCCATTGCTTTGTGGAGATGGAGCTGTGAGATGTGGTGCTGACTCTGTTTAGATTTCTATAGTAAATACCAAAGGTGACCTACCTATTTAAGTGTGTCTCTAATTGTATCATTCTTTCAACTCAATTTCAGATAAAATGTCCATATAAGAAAGTAGACTTGAGTTGGTACACTAAATCAGTGAATCCCTGCCCTGGCTTATATCAACCCATCTGTGGCACCAATTTTGTAACCTATGCTAACCCCTGCATCCTGTGCCTTGAGAGCTTGTGAGTACTATTTGGGGAAAAGAAGAAAATGATGGGACACTTGTTCATAGCAATTACTATCTTCTCCTCTCATCAAGTACATCAACTTTGAAGGAGGAATTTGCCCCATTTTTCATAGATAAAAATCAACCCCACTTAGAAAGGCATGTGGTAATGGAAAGCCCACTGAAGTAGAAAGCAGACTCATTGTACTCAGTGGCATTCCTTAGTTGTGTTTTTCTCTTTGAACCCTTAGGTTCTCACGTGCCAGTTGATGCATTTCTACTTGAAGCACTCACATATACCTTCAAGTACTAAAATTCTTTAATTATAAAACAAATTGTAGCTTTTGCCTTCTCTTAGATATTTTTGACTCCTTATGTATCTGAAACTCCAAACTAGAAAGAGGTGACCTAAAACTTTGGCCAACTGAAAGTCAATGTTCATATTTTGGGGGGTTATGTAATGAAATCAGTGATTAGACACTGAAATCTCACAACTCAATGGTTTAAGCTTTGATATCTCTATGGGCCAGTGCATTTCACAAGGAGAAAAACTTGCCCCATGGTATCATATTGCAACCCTCAGCCCAGTAATTATTTTGTAATTTTGTGCAAGCGGAAATAACAGGAATGTATAAACCCCAGATCATCTCCACTAATGAGTACTTCAGCCAAAGAGTGAAGGTGTGTTGTCAGAATATCTCAGGACTGATATGCCTCCACATCACAAACTCAGGCCTGATTAAATAGCTTATTTTCAAAAATTTCATAGCGTATGTCATTATATCTTTGGTGGAATCACAGAATTATGAAAAAATAACTGGGTGAGAAATCCAGTTAGAATTTATGTACGTCTCTGGTCAGTTCCCTTTAACCCCTGGCTCTTAGTTTCCCCAAATATAAAATAAGCATTCTAGATACAATAATTTTAAAATAGTTTTTATGTAACCCTGATGTTCTATTATGTAATGAAATGCTTATTCTGTCTCTTCCATTAGGAAATCTCGTGGAAAAATTAAATTTCTCAAGGATGGAAAGTGCTAGCTGAGCAGACTTGGATGTGGAAGAAGATGTCTTTTTTTTCTCTCCATCACTCCCATCCTTGTCTTGTATCTCATCCCTTTTTTACCCTCCTTGTATGTGCCCTCTGTGATAGAGCTGCCCCTGCTGAGCTTGTAGCAGATAGTTCAAAGTCCCATCTATGGGACTTTCCTCCACTAATTCATTGCCTTCCATAATCTCCCTTATAAATAAACTTTTCTTAAAGCCTGATTTGACCTGAGTCTCAGATCTGTATCTAAAATCTCAGAATTATAACAAATTAAACATGTGAGTCATTGAGATTAATCAGTTTTCTGATACTGTGAACAGTGAAACAATCTATGTGAAACCTCCAGGTTATCTTACAAGGAATGAAACAGAAATTTCTTCCGCATTCCTTTGGAATTTCTATAGAAAAATTGTGCACTTCCTGGCTGATTGTTGTGTAGTTTCTGCAAACTCCTCATTAAACATCTTCATTTTCAATCCCCAGGGGTCTTGCCTCTTCACTGGTCCTATATTTTTTCCTAGAAGGAAGTCTACCTTGTTGGTATCTGTGAATGTCCCAGTGGCCCTTAATCATTCTATTAAATTTTCTGGACACATTTTAAACTCTGAAACATATAGAGGCATATTTTTCTCTTGATTGTATTTCATATATGTGTGTAGGTATATACAGTAGAACCTCTGTTGTTGACCACTCAAGAGACAATAACAAACTGGTCTATATATGGAGGTGGTCAACATAAGGAACTAGGCCTTGTACTGAACATGCAATGCATGTCCAGTCTATGAAATTACGTCAACTTAAGGAGGTGGTCAAAGTAGGGAGATGATCAACTATGTAGGTTCTACACACACACACACACACACACACACACACACACATATATATATATTACTTCTGATATGGATAAAAAAACTAATATGCACTAACTAACATGCTTTCTTCCCCTTGGCAGCTTGTCCCCTTATGGTCTGGGAAAGAGAGCATCTATTCTGCCTCTCAATAATTTGTAAAGTTGTAGTCAGAGTGTATATATATTGTGTTAGATTTTTGATCTTAACTACCATGATGATTAGATGGATAAATGGCTCCAGTGAAATAGAAACACTTGCTTTTTATCTATTATCTTCAGAACATGAAGAGCAAATAGCTATGGGAAAATAAAAGACAGTCTGTATCCTCATAGCATGGCAATTTTCATTGCTTTAAGTCCTGAGCTATGCAAGAACACTTAGAATGCCAAGGAGGATTGTTTTAAACACTGCTGCTTTAACCTCATGTTCACAAATCTTTTCTTCTGCAATAATTAATATCCCATTAATGTTATCTGGTGGATTATTCATCTCAGACAGGCATTGTTACCAGCCTTGATCAGATCTGGGCTCTGTTTATCTTGAATCCTCTCTAGTGATTCTATCTCAGGTTTGGGTAGATTCCTCATATACAAACACCAACTAATAATCTTCTGAGCCCTCCATCCAGCTTCTCTTTCCCTATGGGCCTGAAAACGGGGTGTTCAACCTGCAGCTTAAGTGCTGATTTTGTGAGGACTTTTTGATTTTCCTTACCTATGGTATTAGATATCATGAAACGTATGCACGGACCCTTTTTTTGCTCATCAACTTTCATTGGTGTTTGTGTTTTTAGTGTGTGGCCCAAGACAGCTCTTATTCTTCCACAATGTGGCAGAGAAAAATAAAAGTTGGACACCCTGAATCTAGCCCCTTCAGTTTCTGTTTCATCTCAGTTCCGTATCTCATTTCAGAGTTGCTTCATCTGGGCTCCTCTTTACTGTTTCTGGAATCTCTCACAATGTAGAAACCAAGACCAACCAGAAAGTTAACTTATTTATTTTCCATCTCTCTGGAATTTGATATCCTTCAATGCCTAATGTTTACTGTAATCGTTTCACGTGTTTTGTCTGATTATTTGTTGTCATTTCAAGTAGGAAGACATATCCGGTTTTTCTTTTTCTTTTTTCTTATTGTTTGGGATTCATTGAGGGTACAAAGAATTAGGTTACATTGATTGCATTTGTTAGGTAAATTCCTTCTTGTAATTGTGTCCTGCCCCCAAAGATGTATTTTTCTCACATCACATTGTCTGAAAGTAGAAACCAAGTTTATCTTTATCAGGCTATTGCACTTACTCTTTGTGCTTATTTCTTTCCACTTGATACCTTCTAAAGTCTACATTGGAATTTAATGTCATTATTCTGCTTTTTAAAAGAATTCCAAAGGACAAAACTTGTGCTCTGTAATAATGAAAATCTTTTTAGCAAAGAAGAAAGCACTTACTTAAATTTGTCATACATCATAATATAAAGAGATTTGATAACAATATTTTTGGGTTATTTGATTGTAGACACTTTGGAAGAAGAAAATGAGTTCCACTTGTTTCAGAATGCAAGACTGACTCGTCCCAGTGCAATGCCTAAGAATAATTTTCACAGATCTCTGACCACTGCCAACATGAAGGGAACTTCTCCCTTTATAGTCCTAGCTCTAACAGCCTTTTTCTCTGAAGGTTCTCTCTTTCTCTCTCCCCACTTCCCTTTGCCCTATTTCTTCTTTATTTTTTGAGACAAAGTTTTACTCTGCTACTGGGCTGGAGTGCAGTGGCATCTTTATATCTCACTGTAACCTCAAACTCCAGTGCTCAGGTGATCCTCTTGCCTCAGTCCTTTGAGTAGTTGTAACTACAGGCACCTACCACTGTGTTCAGCTAATTTTTATATATTTTGTAAAGATAGACATTATTTTTCTAGGGTTAGTTTCAAACTCCCAGCTGCAAATTGTCTTCCCTTCTTGGCCTCCCAAAATGCTTGGATTGCAGAGGCGAGGCCGAGCTTCTGGCCTCAGTCTCCCTCTTTAGCAGGTGATTTCAATCCCCTCTCCAATGTCCCATGTGTTTTATCCTCTTGTTTTTCTCTGCCACATTGATCAGTCCCAGGTTTTGATATTTTCTTCTTACCCATCATACTTCCTCTGCTTGATAATCCTACTCGCACCTGTAATGACTCTCTATTGCCTGGATACATAGAACTCCCTTATCCACACCATGAGATTGTACCCATCTTCTTGACATAAGATAATGGACATCTTAATTTCCATAACTCCTGGAACCTTTAAAGTCAATCTATCCAGTGCAAGGTCTACATTTTTTCCCCCTAAATTTGCTCCTAGCCTTGTTTTAATGTAAGTAAAGTTAATGCCATTACTTTCTCTAATAATTTCATTATTTAATTTTTATATATTCATTACACTATTTTAAGTATTAATTAGACCCCTGAACATGTATTTAACTTAATTCATCCTGTTTCAATAGGCTGTTTTGGTATTTATCTTAACTGTTACCTAAGGCTCAATTCTATTCTTTCAATCATAGTTTTTTTCTTTAAATACAACCTAGTAAAATTACTATCCTTGGTAAGTTATACTACAAATAAACATCTTAGTATGACTTATAAGACATTTCATTTCATTTGTTACAGATGGTCTTAGAACAAGTTCCAACTATAATTGACTCTTGCAGAACTTGTAATAAACCCTATTTGCCCATGAGGTGGCAGTAAAACATTGGTGTTTAGACCAACAACTTTTGACAAGCCCTTTGGGCAACTTGTCATATAACAATGTGATTTGGGGGGGTGGTGCCTGTGGCTCAAAGGAGTAGGGCCCTGGCCCCATATACCGGAGGTGGTAGGTTCAAACTGGACCCCAGCCAAAAAATGCAAAAAATAAAAAATAATAAAAAAAAAAGACCAATGTGATTTGGGGCAGGTTGCTAATGCAGACTTCACTTAACACTACAATTTCCTTTTCAGAAAGGTGAAATCTCCAGGTTAACTTCATATCCAGGTCTCACAGGACAGGCTGGTAGTATTGGGAAATGTTTCTAACCATTGGAATATTTCTAATTAAAACATTACTCTTCTAATTCTATGGAGTTCATTTGTTTTTCTGAATAGATAAATGTTACCCCAAGAAAGTGAATCAGTTCAAACAGAACAGATTTGAGTAAACTGTTTTCCACATATTTCTAAACAAAATGGGGTATGACTTGGAGATGGGCCTGTGTAGTCAGTCAAAAGTAACACGAAAACAAGACAAATCTATACTATGGTTAATTTTCTTTAACCTTTATTTACTTTTATTAATATTATTTTTGCCAAATTATAATTGTGTATTCTTATGGAGGGTGTAATGTGATGTTTTGATACATGTAGAAAGTAGAATGATTAACTTATTTATCACGTCATTTCTTTTTTGTGGTGAGACTTTTGAAATTTCCTTTCTTAGCTATTTTGAAATAGACAATACATTATTATCATTATTATTAACTATAGTCATCTTGTTATGCAATAGAACTCATAAACTTATTCTTGTAGTCTAACTGTAGCTTTGTATCATTTTACAAACATCTCCCATTCCCTCCTCCTCACCTCCAACCTCTGGTAACCAGCATGCTATTCTCTACTTCTATGAGTGTGACCATTCTAGATTACATTCTACATGTAAGTGAGGTTATATGGTATTTATTTGTCTTTCTATGTCTGGCTTATTTCACTGAGCATAGTGTTCTCTAATTCCATCCGTATCTTTCCAAATGAGAGCATTTCTTCTTTTTTAAAAGCTGAATAGCATTTTATTGTATATAGATAATACATTATCTTTATTCATTCTTCTCTTGATAGACATATAAGTTGTTTTCTTATCATGGCAATTGTAAATAAATAAATATTAAAAAGATGTTAATCCTTAATCATCAGAGAAATGCAAATCATAACTACTTTGAGATATGATCTAATTCCAGTAAGATTTGCCCATATCACAAAATCCCCAAACCAGAGATGGTGTGGATTTGGAGAAAAAGGAACACTTCTACACTGCTAGTGGGAGTGCAAACTAATACGTTCCTTTTGGAAAGATGTTTGGAGAACACTTAGGTGTCTAAAAATAGACCTGCCATTTGATCCTATAATTCCTCTACTAGG